ATTATTTGTAACACTTTTTTATTAATAAAAAATTACTGCATTGAACAGATTCATTTATATTTTTCTAGAATTAGATATATAATACGTTTAAAAATAAATGTATACATATATACGTATATATATATTTTAGATATCAAAATTTTATATATATATATATATATAAAATTTTAGATATCAAAATTTGAGAAATTTTATATTTATACGTGAAATATGTAACACTTGTTTTAATTAGCTTTTCTTATGACCGATGATTCTAATACTTTGAAAATTGTAATATTCTTCGACAAATATCAGATTACACGTATTACAATGAAATATCATCATGATATGTCGGTTTTTTAAGTACAACGTTCGATGCATTATTTGTAACACTTTTTTATTAATAAAAAATTACTGCATTGAACAGATTCATTTATATTTTTCTAGAATTAGATATATAATACGTTTAAAAATAAATGTCTTTAAAAAAAGAAAATGAGAATATAGAATTAAAAAAGCACTGCCAAAAACCTAGGTAGTGCTTTTGATTTTTCCACGTATTTATTTTCATTTGTCCACGCTTGCAACGCAATGCTTGTATACATAAATATTCGCTTACATACCACTTATATACTCGTATATTCGCTTACATATCGTGAGAATGAAATTCGGATGAAATTCCAGGAGAGATGAAAACCGGACGGTGGATGGGAAGGGTAGATTACTCTGTAAGAACATATTTACAATAAGGCGCTTTATTTCTATAAACTTCTCGCTTATTTAGCATCGTATAGAAATAATCGGTACTTATTATGTGCTAGTTTGTGCGAGTTGTGGCATGGTGCGTAAATATAAATATAACAAATTTCAGTCGCGACTTATCGCTCTCCGTTTTTGTCCTGTTAACACTCAATCCTCGTTGCCTTTTTTCGATGGGCACATTATAAGAAGAAGAAACTTCTCGAGAGAACTGTTCCTTCACACTCCGTCACCATCGCCGTCGCCATCAATGCTGATACCGTCGTCACCGGCTGCTAGCGGTTTGCTGCTCTTATCCCGCTTGGAGTTGTGATAGAGGTAGGAGTGTACACGCAGACTGTTACTGTTCTTATATTTATTACCACAAAGCTTACACGTGAGAGTTTCAAGCGGACCGTGAATATAACGGACGTGTAGCTTGAGGTTTTCCTTGCGTGTGAATTGACGCATGCACCACGGGCACGCATACATGCGTATTACTTTGCCATGTTCCATGCGCAACGTTGGACCCAGCTCTGAAACGACACGCAGCGTTGTCTCTAATGGCAAGCTGCTACCGGAAATACCTTTAACCGTACGTCGTCCCTTAGTGCTGGAATTTGCCGTCTCATATGTTGAGTCACTTGGATAAATCGTTGTGTCATTTAAACCTACTAAAAAGAATATTATTAGATATCGTATTATTATTCTTGAGAATATTAGATATGCATTCGATTTGATAAAGCTATCAAGAGATTATATAAAGAAAATGAAAAACATGTTAAGGATATACATAAATGTAGGAGGAAAAGAGAGTGAGAGACGTATTATATTGATGCAAAAATCTTGTATCTACAATAAAATTAGAAGCAAAATAAGGGAAATAACGGTTTGTTCTTTTTAGCTGAACTTCTTACACAGTTCATTTTTTCTTTTCACACTAACTTGTATCAAAAGTTTAAAAGTTAAAAAGAATAAACCTAAAATTACGCGGATTTCGCTTTTTATTTCATCTAGAGAGATTTTTAATTTACTCTTTAAAGAACTTCAGTTTTCCAGTTTTAATAGAGATTTTGATAACAAAGCGACAAATTTTTTGCATCAATCGAATTTATAAGCAGTATGTACAGCAGAGATGCAGTTTCTGAGATATCGGAAAAAAACTGTGCAATAAAAGAACGTGATTAACTTGAAAATTTACATTTAAAGATCGATAAGAAATATAAAAAAGATAAATGATGCAATTTGTATTTTTCCAACAAAATCCATTCATTATACAATCAATTCATATTAATAACATTTAAAAATGTTACAAATTAGCATGGAAATGCAGTTCTGCAATTTAAAAAGAAAAAAGAACAAGTAGGAACATTATCAGCGAACCAATTAACAAGTATTGAGATATAAAATTAGTCGTGTTATTTTCCTACATTTATTCTATAAAAAAAATATCTTGCAAATTGATTCTTTTTTCAAACATGCTATGAACGAGTTGGAGAATGTAAACGACAAGCAAAATGCGATAGAAGTGTAAAACGTACCGAATGGCTGAGTTTGTGAATTCTGATTGTAGGGAACTAACTGCGTATCTGGCGCGAAATCTGTAAGATAACATCGCTTTCTCTAGACATTTATGGGCAATGAGATGAGGTGCCTAGTGAATTTATGCAAAGAGAGAGAAAGAGAGAAAAAAAAAGAGAATTATAATTCGAGGAACATCGCTTGCTCGGATTTGAAACACCCATTCGCGTGAACATGCAAACGTGATATTGCGTTGATCACAGAGACTAAATTGACTTTAACCCCCGGCGTTGCGATTTAACGAATGAATTGATTTTGCAATGTAAACCGACCATATTTCTTGTTGAATCGTAATGCGTTAGAAATTTATAGAGAAACAATGTCGCTCGTGGAGGGATGATAATGAGATCTAAGATGTCCACGCTAGAAATACCGGGGGTTAATTAAACAGTACGTAAAAGTGCTTAAGAGCTTGCGTCGCAGTCAAACAAGTGATAATGAGTCTCAATAACAAAGTACACATCTATCCTTGGCAACACTTGAGTGTGTCAAACCTTTGGGGCGCCGATACTGCTGGTACAGCAAACTTTTCTCTTTGTCGAAGGGCGTTTCAGCTCCGGATGACGTTCCGACGACGTCATTCAATCTACTGTTAGCGTTGTCTTTAAAGTACACGAGATGCCGACAGGACGGCGGGAGAATCACTACCTTGTTTCGCAGCGTTCTCGTTGCCGGCATAGAGTATTTTTTCCGCTGCATATCTGTATCCTAAATCCGTATCCGTGTCCATCGTATAATCCAGCGGTTCGGGCTTAGTTGACTGTGGCTGACTCACATCGGATGTGCAATCCAACGGCTGTTCCTCCATGTTGCATGGCATGTCTGTGCTTCTGCTTCTCTCACTAATCGCTGTTTGTACATCTGGACCATCTGGGACACTATAGTCAGCTTCTGTGCAACCTTGCCAATGACACGTGTCAGTGACAGTTGACATTTGTTCAGTAAACGGTTCTCTCGTCGAGATGTCTTCTGTTGAAGTGCTTTGCCTCGTTGTAGACTGCTCCTTTACAATGTGCGTCAGCCTGCTGAATGTGGAAACGTTTTCGTCTGTACCACCATGTTCACATCTATCTTTTTCCACTTCATAGAAACCACGATCTTCAAAATCCTCATCATTTTTTCTAAGACTATCTTTGAATCTCTGCAATGTAGAAATCAACTGTGTATAAAAAAAATATACTTTATATATTTAGAACCTACTCTTTCTAAATATATTTTACTCTAAATTTAGAGATGTACAGAAATTGTTTTAGAAAAAAAATAACATCTTTATAAACAAGCAATATCACTTTCTCACATTCTATACATTTTAACACTGTCATTTTCCTGAAGCACTCTATATTTTTATAAAGGTAATTTCGACTGTATGACAAACCTCATTTGAATCTGTGGTTAGTCCTTTTATTTGTAGAACCTCTGCAACTTTCAAAAAGCTGGCGATATCCTCTTGCTTGATATTGACCTCTCCTTGATACATGAAATGTAGTATAGCTGATAAATCCCGGTAATTGACATCCTTCAGTATGACAATAGGATGTTTACATGTGTTTCCCTGTGTACAACAAATCACTGAATCAATGAAGCCTCCAAAAAAGTAGTTACAGTATTACCATTGTATCACTAAAATAATAAAGTACCTTGAAAAGTTCTCGAAAGTATGTGCTGCATACTGACAGTATCAGTTTGTGAGCTCGTAAAATTTGACCTTCAACAGCCAATGTGACGTCTACGAAATGCTCATCTGTCAGCAAAGTATATAAGCCTGAAGACAGGTTTCTTGGGAAGCTGTTCCACACCAAGGAGAATTGTTCGTCAGACATTGTTCCTATGTGAAAGACACTTCGTATACTCGATAGAAAAACGAAAAAGGACATTGACTAGAGCTTAGAGAATTCGTAAGTGCTGCATTAGGCCGCTTTTACAGCTATCTACAATGCACTATTATTACGGTTGCTAATAAATGAATTGTATGCAGTTTATTTGTATTGTTACATTTGTATCGTTTAAAAATAAATGTTATATTTTGATGATCAGTGTATCGCCGGATGCAACATTACGTCTCTTTACCTTTGACAATTCCGTGTTTACAAACAGGAGAAGATAATGAGAATCTCCCCAACGACAAAGTTGACAAGATTTTTCAACACCACTTTATAATACCAATAAAACGTTTATATCACAAATATTCGGAGCTTCTGATTGATCATTCAAGCACCGTCCTCGCTTTCCTCAAGATATGGATTGCAAATACAAAACATAATCAAGACAGTTATCCTGCGCGCGAAAAGCTTGAGTTAACTTGAGTCACTTTGATGTGCGTAAATTACCGAAGCAGTGCGCCATAAATCATGCGATCTTCATTGCGCTCCGAGATGGCGACGCTGGGCGACGCGTGCAACCTCGCGCCTCGTGCAATGGCGCCGTAATCAACAACAAGCAATAATATAATGAAATAAAGATAATAAATGATATAAAATATATATCACTTATATTTTATATGACATTTTATTTTATATGCGTAATTAATTTTTTTTTTAGCTAGGCAAAAATACAATTTTCTATAAGCGTCTCATAAAATAAGATACTTATAAAATAATAAGAGAATAATTCTTACACAAATCTTCCTATTAATAATTCTTCTTGAATATAATTTCTCTAATATAATTCTTCTTTATATAGAATTAGAATTCTTCATTCCTCCTTCAATCGTTAAATACAGAAAAATATCCCTCATGATCTCTTGATTTCGTTAAGATTTTTATTTCTTTGAATCTTCTTTGATTTAAAATGTAATAGAATGATCTCACAGAGACAGATCTGTAAATTCTTGATTCATTCCAGAAATCATATCATTCAATGTGTCCGACAATTAATGAGCTGTTGTGGATATCGGTAAGACGAAAGCATTTCCAGAGACCATAGCGCACCTCCCAGTCGACGAAGAATAGTTCCGGCTTGTTCCAAAGAACGTGGTGTAGCGCAAAGTTATATTGGGATTGGATGGGAGGATTCAGATGCGGCGCCCATTGCGCCCTTTCCATCACAATCCTATTCGTATAGCTGTAGAAAATTTTAGCCTTGTGTATCCAGCAGATGAAGGACATAATAGAGATGATCGTAGCATGTATATGACAAGCTTCTTCCACGCGATTGTCTTGTTGTTGCAGAATGATCTCCTGTACATTCATCGCGAGGCAGGCCAGAGCAGCAGCTGTAAAGCCACAGGGTACTTCAATAGCAATCAGGCATATTGTGCAATATGTCACCTCGATATTCATCCGCGAGTTCGAATGGCTTGTTAGACTCTTTAGCAGGCTATCGTGTAATAATTCGCGATGCAACTTAAAGAACAATCGATCTTCTTTACGACACTGCGTGATTCGCAGACCAAAATACGTGTGCTCGAAGAAGATCTTGGGTGTATCGAAGATCGCTCGGTTGTCATGGCGGTCTATCAACCATTGCAGCACTCTGTTGCCTAGTAGACTGATGATCTGACTGGATGAGCCCACCATTCGCATCAGCAGTGGAAAGATTGTCGGCGTGAGTGTCTGCTCGTAGAGATTCGCCTGATGTATAAAAGCAGCGAATTCCAGCAAGCTGGCGAACTCCAGAACGAATTCGTCGGTCGTGCCTGCGGTCACTGTCCATGAGCACATGTGCTGCACGACCACTAGCAACTGATCGTTCGAGATATGTTTCATAGTATTTCTTAGGCAAACTTCTAAACCCTTTTTGAGGCTGGCAAGCGTCGATGGCGATGGCGATGGCAATGGCGGTGGTGAAGGTGCTAAAGAAGAGGAAGAGTCTAAAAGGGAGGTCGTCATCAATCGTGCGATTATGCTAGCGCGAAAAAGCCCGAGCATCTTTTCTATTGTCGCTACTGTATCCTGCGTTTCCGGCCACACGAACACGTCCAGAAGCTCATATAATATCCTGATGATACCGCGACTATCCTCGACGCCAATTTCTGGCAGTGTCAATTTATTCCAAATTGAATGAACGATCAGTCCGGCAATAACAGGGTTGATATCTAGCAAACTGTACATTATTTCAAAGCAGAAGGTCTCGAATTTCCAGAGTCGCTCCTGATAGATGGCTTCCACAATAGTCTCCACGACATCCGATGATCTTTCGGGCAGGTAGCTTTTCAGTAAAGCATGATAGCAATCTCGGGCGATTCTAAACTTACGTCGACGCTTCCATAAATCGCAAAATCCATTTGTCTGAAATACATTCTCGTAGTATAACAGGAGTCTCAGTAGACACGTGACAAGGATGCGAGGATGACGAGACTGCAATTGCTCCTTCGTTGCATTTCTGATGATCATCGTTATCTTATCCAAGGTCTTAGTCTGGATCTTATCCTGTTGTGTCGAGGCATACAAAATAATGGACGAGAAGTTCCTAGAAATAGCCTCCATTCTCTCTGCAAGTTCTTCATCGGTTATCATTCTTAGATTAATTTGAAAGTTTTTAAATTTTAAAAGAAATATGACAGCACACGGTTGGAGCTCCTAGAAGATGAAATATTAGGTATTAAAAATGGAAATATATAAAATAGAAAGCAATAATATAAACAATATAATATATAATACATAGAACACTAAAATTGAAAAAGATATGAAATAATAAAACTAAAAGATTTTGTATGGGTTAAAATTTAACTCTCAATTTTTTGGAGAATTATGATAGAAACATGAAATTGCAGTTTATGTCATAATATTTAAAGATTCTTGCAGTTCGTTGTTCAGTATAATTATTAATCCACAATTTTATATTTTTAACATAAAGCAATAAAACTGTAACTGAAAATGTCATTTTAATTGTCATTACTTTTTTTATCTTCTTGCCGACGTATTAATGTTAAAATAACATAAGACTTATATAAATAACGTGAGATTATATAAATAACGTTAGATATAACTTATATAACTTATATAATAATATATTATTTAAAATAGATACTATTTACAAGTATAGCGTAGCAGTGTAACGTAGCGATAAGTCCATAGATAGAAAAAAAACATTTTATTCTATATTTACAAGTTCCTATACATATATGCACATAATACGAAGAATAAACTCTAAATTCTTCAATCTTACAAGATGGATTTAAAAATTCGTGAATTTAATTATATTTGTAACCCATTATTAAACAGACTAAATATACATTCTCGCATATTACTTTAACAAAACTTTCGCATTTAGAACCACAAATCACCGCCGACATCCTCGTCCGGTTGTGGCAGTTGTTGCTGCTGATTCTGTTGTGCTTCCTGCTTGGATGTGACGTTCTCGGCATCATCATCGCTTTCGGAAACAGCCAGATCCTCCTGGATTTTATCCTCTACTTTATCATCTCTGGCTGGTAAACCGGCCAACAAGAAGTCCGATGGATCGTAATTTGGATCAACATCCATGCTCTCATCTACAAATGAAAAGTCGGAGTTTACGGAAAAAAATCAATGAAAAGTTAACAATAATACAATTCTATTAACTGAACAATAAAATAATTAAAAACAATTCAATAAAAAGTCGTCTTATTTTTGAAGAATCATATTTTTTCAAACTTTATTATATGTAAAAATATTAATAAGTTTCTCTTTAAGTTATTTGTATTTTATAAAATTTCTAATTTCTTCAAAGGAATAGCTCTTCAAGTGAAGTAAATCATTAAAAATTTTGTTTTCTTACCTTGTTGAAGCAGCTGTTGCTCGCCCATATAAAAACCGACATTCCCCAACTGAACCATTGCTTCTGCAGCTTGTTGACTGTCATCGTCCGCTAATACGACACCTTCCCTGACCTCGCTTAACTCCAACGTCTCCGCTTCGTTTTGCTCGGAATGATCGTCCGTGACGAATGGCACCTCATCAAATTCATCTTCGCTGGAGAATTGAAGATCTGACAGAAAGAAAGACTATTAAACAAGCTCCGATAAATACAAAATAAAGTTAGGATTACACTACCTTCTTCGAGCACATCCTTCTTTTTCGAATTCCTATCCATATCCGTTTCCATGTCTCCTTCTACATCGACAAAATCGAAGTAATCTATATTTGATTTGGTAAATGGATTGTCTGGAGAACTGTTCTGGCTCTAAAGATAAATTTCAATGTTGAATAAAATGTAGATAAAATTAAGTAATAAAATAGTAAAATATAAGTTATAAATAAGAAATACATAATTAAGTATTAAATATAAAAATAAGCATAATACTTACGCCTCTATATTCAGGTTCCGTGATAGTGTAGTTTTCCTCATCCGGGCAAAGCCAGGAGGAATCTATATCTGCCTGTTCCATCGCTCGTTTTTGCACGAGCAATATATTGTTCTCCAGTTGCGTCAGATGTTCATCGTACTAAAACAATATTCATAATTGTCAGCAACTTTATTTCTATTTAACTTAAGCACGTTAACAATTTTTCATCTAATTATTAGAAAAATAATCATACCTCATCTAATGTATCTTTACACACTTTAACCAGCAACTCCGCTTTACTTGTAAGCGGAGACTCTTTACCATTATAAATCGAGCAATTCTCCAAGATCTGTTCGATATCTCTAAGAAATTCCTGACGACTGTGATATTTGTGTGCTAGAAGGATTTTAAAAATAAATAAATAAATTTTAAGGAAAAGTAAAGTACAAGCGTATAAATCTACAGTTTTATGTAAACACTTAAGTTTCTTACCAGAAACTTTTTTAGATACTGTTTCTAGATCCATCGGTTTCTTGACAATATTGTAATAATCCTTCACCATTTTTTTATTGACAGGTTTCATAAACGGCCATACTTCTGTCATAGATTTCAGTTTATTATTAACAACGTTATCCAAGATAAAAGTGAGAGCAACTTGATCATTGTCGTCCAGAAGAGGATTGATGGCCTTCTCCAGTCTCATCAAACGATCCTCCTTTTCGCCAAGTCTCTCGACACACGTATCCAACATTCTCTTGGCAGCTACAGTCAATGAACTCTTTGCTCCGTTATAGAGTGTCGAGTTCTCTACAATTTGATTAACATCCGCCAGAAACTCCTCCCTGCTTTGATATTTTTTTAACCTCAAATTTTCACGTATGGTCTGCAAATCCATGGGCCGCTGTATGATCTTGTGATAATCAGGAACTACCTGGTATATAAAAAAACAGCACGATCGATATTTGTAAAACAGTGTTTTTCGATTTTCAGAATATTTTTATTATATATACATTGTATATAAATTTATAGTTATATAAAGCTTATAGCTGAATTAGTTTCATTTTTATTCAATTTGCAATTGGTTTTTTAGTGTTTAATCTCATGAGTTAAAATAGTGCTTACTTTAGCATTGACTGGGAATAGGAATGGTTGCACATCTGGCAGATCTCTCATTTCATTCAAAATGCTCTCCAACATTGTAGACATCACTACAACTGGATCAGTCCTACGTCTGTTAACTGGTCTTTGATGGCGTTTCAAATAATCACAGTGGTCGTCTGTGGGTGGTTTCCTACGTTTTTTTGAATTTACCGCTTCCTTCGGCACTTTGAGCAATAATGTACGCCTCTTCACTTCCTCGGCGTGCTGAAATAAACAAGGTTTTTATCACTCTTTAGATACGTGGACCACGTATATGAATATGAATTGAAGAATTTAAATTTAGTGTTAAATTTTCAATATCTATCAACTCACCTTGATGAGTTTTGAGGACAATTTCACCTTGGTGCCATCGACATTGACCAGATCTTGATCATCAGTATTTAGCTGCTTCTCGATTTCCTCCTCCTGTTCTTCGGTCATCGCGACATTGACTGGTGCAGTGGCGATGCTGTTCTGGTAGAGCGGACAGGCTTTGTTTGTGCGCATGTGACCGACGTTGCCACAAGCACCGCACTTGAGTTTTAGATCTGGTTTGAGTTTAGGTTTTTTACGTTTAGGAGGCGATATCTCCTGTTTAGGATGTTTGAGCGCGGGAATAGAAGAAGTAGAAGATTGGAAATTACAGAATGGAAGGATACTAGTTGAGGAAGTGGTAGTTGGAGTGTTAATATTATTGCGATCGAATATATTGCTCGAATTATTAATGTTGCTGCCGTTCACTATAGATGACCCACCCAACATACGCTCTCTCTCTTGATTTCGCTTGATTCGTCGTAATTGTTCCTGAATTCTACGTTTCTCTCGCTTCATTTCTTCCTTCTGTGCCTCGTCCAATGTGGCAAACTGCTTGATAAACGTCTCGTCCTTTGAGTTGCGTATCTTAATGTACGTGTCGATTACGGCGGGCTTCCTCACTAACTCAACTCGTGTGTATTCCTTGCCCTCAGAATTACGGAAGGTACGATAGATTTTTAATACACGTCCCTGCTGCGCATTGAAATTATTAACCGGGCTGTCTTCCTCCTCGTCCTTCTTTTTGTTCTCCTTGCCTTTTTTGCTTTCCTGCTCCTGAGCCTCGCCCATGAGCATCTTTCGTAGCTCATGCCGCTGTTGTTCCTCCCGTTCCAGTGATAGCTGCGTGCTGGTCTTTTTGTTTGACAACATATTTTCGATATTCTTACCCATTTCTTCGATATCCGAGCTGTCTTCTTCCGAACTCTCGCCTTCGTCCGTGCTCAATACTTCGTTCGACGACAGCACGCGATTCTGTAAGTCAAAGATTCGTTGGCACTCCTCTTTGTAACGTTCCTGATGTTCGGCGATAGAGAAACGATTGCCGCGTGAAAACTTTGTCATGCCCTCCTCGCCAGCCTTTGCTTTCTCTGTTGATAGAGTTCGAACCACGTCGATTACTTCCCAACGCGACAATTTTTTGATCTCCTCCTCAGGTACACCAAATTTTCGCAGCAACGCTTTGGCATTGTTTAAGGACAATCTCCTTAAGTCCGCGTCTGTGCCAGTTACAGTTCTTTTTGGTTGAGCTTCTTGTTCTTCCTATACAAAATATTTTATGGTTTATTCTAATCTGGATAACAACATTCTTGATAGATATTTGTCAGAACAAACCTTGCTAATAGTCGGCTTATTCGGCACTCTAACATAACTGAAGCCTTCACCACAGCCAGTTGGATCGGCTGGACCTGCCAACTGCAGTAGACACTTTCCTTTCATGGCTTGGATATAAGCGCGCGTCGTATTCCACGGCGCCACCTTCACTTCGTCATCCATCTTCAGCTGCATGTCCTCGTCATCATCGTCTTGTGGAGTGAACAAAAATTTCTCTCCATATCCAGCGTCCTTCAAACGCTGTTCGGCCGCGATCATGCTGAAATAAGCGCAGCACTGCTCTGGTGATACCATAGCGCGGATCTCCTCCTCCGTTGGCAACCTGAAGTCTGGTTTTATTACCCACCAGTTGGAATCCATACCTATTTGATATAAAAAAACAAGTGATTTGAATGTATACAAGTTTGCTTAGAAACAAAATATATAACAGCAACACAATATTTCTTCTTGAATTTGAACAATTTCTTAGTTTTTATTGCAAAAAGAGCTAATAAACAATTTAACGATTACGCACCAGTTCTTTTAAAGTCGGCACACAGCTTTAATCTTTTTCTAATACTACTCTCACTGTGAGATGGGAAGGCCTTCTTTATGTCGTCCATCCTAATTCGTCGAGGAGTATCGGTTGAGTTCCAAAATAATCTATATATGAACACCTGTAGAAAATCTCGTACGA